TAATGACACAGACGACACTGATGATGTTTACCGCATTGGAAATATAATTGTGGAAGATGCTGTAAATTTAATGACTACTAAAAGATGTCAAAATCTCGCTCGGTACTGAGATATTCCAAGGGTATCTCCAGGCAATTGTTACATCGATGAGTGAGATTTTTTTTCTTGATAATTCTTGTTACTTTATTGACACGTCCCCATATACCCAGTACAAACACCTGTGATCACAATGAGTGGACTGTCAGTATCCGCCATTGTGTTACTGTGAGTTGTATGGTCTGATGATATATCAATACCAGACAGTTTTGACGTTTCTCTCTTTCACCATCTACCTTCCACACCAACATTCATTTGACATTGTATTATTTCTCTGGCTATATAAACTGTTTGAAAACCAATAACATTTAATCACAACATCAATCGCATATATTCTAGTCTACGGTGATTATCCACCAAACATAGAGGCAGACTAGTTCACAAGCGGAATGATTTACGTGATAATGTAACTTGACTTTACACATTAGAACAGGGGCTTTTAAGGGACTGAAATTGTTTACATGAATAGCCCCCAAGCTTATTTAACCTGAAGACTAAACACCCTAACCTAACCTAACTTAACCTAACCTAACCAAACTTTACCCCATAGGTTGTGTTAAGGTGGTAACTTTTTCTTGATTCCCCCTAGTTTACCGTACTTGGTGTTCTGAAAACTGCTTGTGTAGTTTCGACAGTTTAGTTTATTTTACGCATTGTTGGTAGTGAAAGTTCTTGGTTAGGAGACTTAAATAAGCTATTATACCCCACTACGGAGTAAAGGGTAAACATTGCAGTCACTTGTGTTTGCTTGTCTGTCAGTCACTCCATCCACCTTTTATTTTCGTTCCTTGAAGTTCTAGATCTGATTCATTTTTTGGAGAGTAATTAGAAAGGTCAAAGGTTACAGATACCTGAAAATTCTCACTGACCTCACTCAAATACACAAGACACAGGACATTCTCGGACACTTTAACATTCTATTGATGATTGGTCGACTGGGAGGGGTACATGTGTCACAACTCACATCAGGAGTATTGCTGAGAATATTGGACCACCTGAAGATTATACATACTACCTTATTTCACCTGAAGATTAGACATACTACCTTATTTCACCTGATTATACATACTACCTTATTTCACCTGAAGATTAGACATACTACCTTATTTCACCTGAAGATTAGACATACTACCTTATTTCACCTGAAGATTAGACATACTACCTTATTTCACCTGAAGATTAGACTACCTTATTTCACCTGAAGATTAGACATACTACCTTATTTCACCTGAAGATTAGACATACTACCTTATTTCACCTGAAGATTAGACATACTACCTTATTTCACCTGAAGATTAGACATACTACCTTATTTCACCTGAAGATTAGACATACTACCTTATTTCACCTGAAGATTAGGCACACTACCTTATTTCACCTGAAGATTAGACACACTACCTTATTTCACCTGAAGATTAGACATACTACCTTATTTCACCTGAAGATTAATCACCCTAACTGCCTGGAGGAGATGGGAGGGGGTGAGGTTAGGTTATGTCAGCATTAGGTGGTTAATCTTCAAGTGTTTCCTTTGGGGGGGGGGGATATAGTTTGGAAGGTCAGGCGCCCTATATAACTTAAATAAATCTTAAGACAACGGTAAAGCTGTATAACTTGTGGAGGCCACTGGTTAGTGATAAAGGTAAGAGGCCTCGGCTGATTTTGTTTTATATGGCTACCAAAATGATTCCCAAACACCTTGGTACTGTAGCATTTCTAAACTCTCGGATACATTGATAGGAGTGATGACTAATATCTTGTGTGTCTGTTATATATTTCTTTATTCGACAAGTGCAGTGTAGTTTATAAATATTGGGTGTATCTATGTTGTAATGATGAGTCTGGTTGGTTCATATATACAGTAATGTTTGAGGTTTTCACCGACTCTCCCTCTCCTTCATCCTAACTCGGCTATATTTATAAAGACGTGCGTCACGCTACCCTCTTGTGAAACTACACAGTATTAAACCCTGCGCACCTACAACCTAGTTGAGAGAGAGAGAGAGAGAGAGAGAGAGAGAGAGAGAGAGAGAGAGAGACTAAGAAAAAACGTAGATTAATTTTCATGAACTTCAGCAGACTGTCAGGTTGTTGGTCAATGTCAAAGATCTATGCCGGACAACAAGGGTTTGTGCTGAGATAAACTCCCTCCCTGTGTGTGTTTTGCAATGAAGGAGACAGAGGCCACCACGTGAACAGAACTCACGTGTCAGGCAACGCGTTTTACCTCACGGTCACAAGTCCTCCAGGGCACCTCCTCATGCTTATGCTCGACCCCAGTGTTGTATTGCGGCAGTAGTTGGTGTGTGTGTGTGTGTTTACTTTTATATTATTATTGTTATTATTATTATTAGTGTTGCTATTATTAATATTATTATTATTATTATTATTAGTAGTAGTAGTAGTAGTAGTAGTAGTAGTAGTAGTAGTAGTAGTATTCTTTACCCGTCATACAAACACGACACTATAAATTTCGTAACGTGCAAATAGTATTGTCAGTCCCAAGAATCGAGCTTGGGAGGGGAATGACTTTGTTGACTGTGCTACTCCTTAACTTCAGTGGTCTTTCCTCCCAGCAGACAGACCAGAGGTGATCAACACTAAAGGGCTCATGACGTATTTTAATCCTCCTTAGACACATCCCATTATTATCATCACGCCAGAGAAAACATTAAAACATTGTTACCACATTTGCTAAGTTTAATGACGGTTGGTTCTAAAATTCCGGGGGAGCAGCTGGCGGGCGGATGAAAGGAGATGCTGATTTGAATAGTAGCTTCAAATAATTTGTTATTTTCTTGGTTTATCGAGTGAATGTCCAAGTCTTAAGGAATACGTCTAACTCTGGTGTGGTTCCAAGGCCAACATTTATTAAGTAACAAAAAATGTGAATACTAACTTCTTTTAACGTGTGCACAAACCGTCTAAGTAAAGATTGAATCGGGATAAATAACAAGTATATAATAAGTGTGATAATAGTTACAAACACTTAAAATAAGAATAAATTTGTAAATAGCAAATCAAACTTGAAGGTAACTAATTCAAAAGACTTCGGGATGAATCGAACGGAATATTACGCGTAGGAATACAGAACCTAAAGTGTTAATATATACTGTGAATATATTTATGTATGTACCTTATAATAAAAAAGTTTGTCAGTGTTGATTCAATTATTAGGCAAAAAAACCAGTCCGTCAACTTTCCTACTTCTAGCGTGCTGCTTAGTAACCAAATAATCTTATTAGAACTGCTTCGGTTTCAAACTTATATAGTATTAATAAAAGGTGAAGGTGACAAATTTTCTGGTGTATTGACTGTTACTAACCACTTTTGCCTTGCTTTGGATCTTCGGTGCTCAATTTAACCAATTTTAATTTTCCCTAAGATCACCTAACCTTTTGACGAAATGTAAAACTACTTTCCTCTCGTCAGTCATTATATACGTGCTCAACGCTGACCTTCCTGACCAAATCTGTCCCTAGTGATGACAGGTTGTGAATGGTCCGTAATCTTATTTTGATCTGATGTTTATGTGATGTCGCTGAAGAAGTTTGGCGAGAGGAGCCAGTTGTTTTAAAAAGTGAGAAATAGTGAAAAGTCATCCTTAGCTAAATGACAACCAACTTAATACTGAAAGCGACAAAGACAACAATGTCCTCTACCACGAAGCTGAAATTGAAAATATAGATAAGATAGATGAGATGTTTTAACTGGCGAGTGGTGAACTGATAGATAATATGTTTTAATAGAATTTAGATACACTGTTAAGATTAAATGATTGCGTTGTACTTGTCACAATATAAGTAATCTTGTCTGTGATTCACTAAGAACCAGTATTCGATTATTATTATTATAGTTTCCCCTATCTTGTATTCGTTTTCTCTCATACTGCTGGACGGTATGTGGGGATGCTTGTGTAATACTGTACATCAAGTACTATTTCTGTCTTTGGTCCCTTCGCCATTTGTTAGCTTACTTGCCTGTTATACTTTACTGCTTCTGAGATTTAGTATAATTTATTTATCTTATTATACTTTACAAGAACTACAGTACTTAGCAGTGTATCATTCCAGTGCTTAGTTCTCATAATATCCATCGAGTAAAGAAATGCCACTCCTAATTGAGTATTCCTTACCTCAGTAGCCATTTTCTGTGACGAAATTAGGTTTAAATCTTTCAGGGTAGACGAGCGTATAAAGATCCAATGCTAATTTAGATATATTTTTCGTGAAATTCAATAACGTTGTGCATATTTCTTTCTATAACACTTGTTTCTTTTTAAAACTCTCTTGGGTTATACAAATACCTTTAATCAAATTCGTGTATGAATTACCTGAAATACATTATTATTTTTAGGGTGTTGGACTGGTATTTGCAGCTTTCATCGAGTCGATATAATTGTACCCATAGTGTTACAACTATTGAGACAAATATTAGTATTTTAATGTAGAATCGTGAGTGATAATTCCAGTGTACTTTGAAGACAGACTAAGACTCAGAGTTCATGACGACACATTGTTGAGTTTACTGTATTATTATACAGGATTATAGAATACGAACCGTCAATAATGGGAAGTCAAAACGGAGAATTGTTTGACGTAGGTGCAATGAGTACAACAGGCCTCCCATATTACAGGTCCCGTAAGTAATGCAAAATATCATCAAGATGGAAGGATTTGAGTATGCTGTTGCTCTTATGTTCTGTGCCGTGAAAACTAATGGTGCTTTATGCATGGGTGTGAGATTCTTATACAACAAGGAAACTTCCGAATATTGTACACTCCTCTGGGACAAATGCTCTTTCATCCCAGTTAAACTACACCAATATCACTGTAATCATTGTTAAACTCAAATCGTATAGACAGTATTGTGTGACAAACTCATATTTCTTGTGTATTTAACAGCGAGGCGTGAACACTGACAGCGGCAAAACCACTCTGGAGGCCGCCTTCGAGGGCATCAGTCAGTAAGTATACTACAGGGTGATATTTTCCTATTGTTATAATTTGTTTCTCCGACTTTTATTCTTCTCTTCTCCTGTGGTATTTATTTTCGAAATTGGGCCATGGTGGCTTCGACAGCTGCCCTTGGATGACGAAGGTATAAACTGTAGTCAGCAGGGTTAGAGGGGAGGGGGGATGCAGTTAACTGTAGTCAAGCCCACACCCATAATTCCAACATTCCCAAAAATGCAACGTAGAAAACATGTCTCTTCTCGCTGTCAGAAACACTACAGTGAATAACTAAATCACGATCAAACTACAAAAATACTTAACCTTGGCGCACCAGGAAGGATTAACCTACCTACTTTGGACACTGATGGTGTCATTGCTTTAATCAATTATGTGTGAAATACTCCGATTACAGTATTATTGTGTTGTTATACCATTAGTACTGTTATGCATGTTCAACTATTCAATTTCTTTTATTTCTTGTCGGACAGAAACGAAGCATGAAATTTGTGAAATGGTGTTATTATTAACAAGTAGTTTCCGTAATTACTCTTAAACTATTTTCAGGTTCCGGATTGACAACAGCGTTCTTCACGATGAAATTGCAGAATGGTGAGTAACCTGAATATTTATTACTTGTTAATATTATATTTACTTGAATTTGTGTTTGTTATGTTACAAATAATTATAATTAAGCACAATGACAGTTAAATAACCAAACATTGACAACACGTGATACCTGGTGGCGGAGATAAGAACTAGACACGATTACTTCCCCGGTAGGCCAAGTACAATTTCTATAACACACTTTTTGAACATGGCTCTCTTCAGCTATAATTTAACTACGATAATATACTACCGATATATAATCTATTATATGAATACACGTTTGGTCAAATATTAAGGTAATTATCCCCCAACTGATAAATATTTATGTAATGTACCGAACTCTGGGTGGAACTACTCCGTCTAGTGTCACTTGTAATACGTGAGGAAACAGTGAAGTGGAAGTTATTTCGCATTAAGTGTTATATGTGATAAACGGAACAGTATTATAGAAAAGAGAGAAACGTAAATGAAGATCTGATAATATATTGAGAAAGAGAAAATTAATGGCACTTCAAAAAGTTGTGCAGCCATTTAATTACGCAATGAGTGAATGTTCTGAGTTGTCCTGGTAGCATAATATAGAGAATAATGGCTATTGTCAGTGGACGTTTTCCAATTTCCTTTGGACGGCAATTGAGGATCTACAGTCATCCTTGTTTAACGAGGGATTTTCAGTGGTCCTCAAGATGTCGGAATGATGATGAAAAAACCATAAGAAATACAACAGTTTTTGTCCAAGATGGTACCAGCATTGAGGAGTTGCCAGCCGTTGTTCAAATAATCAGCGGCGAATTCCAATTATTCAGTAATGGAAAGAGTCAGGTTGGCAGAAGGTTTGAGGGACTTGGGTTAGAAATTCCTCAGGTTTCCCCAAATCTCTTCAAAAATATAAATTTTGAAGAAGAACAAGAGATGATCCTTGGTTTTATGAGATGTGTAAAAGTAGGAGATATATTTAAATTACTTGAAATATGTCCTGAAGCTGAGGTGACTCCTTCGGTTGCATTGGCCGTAATCAAAAGAATATTTGAATTAGAAAACAACATAGAGTATCGGAATCAAGGACTGAACCAATACCCAGACGAATCTCCGTTGACTTTTACCCGAGGAGCCGTGATAAAGAGATTGGTTGAAATCGTGTGTGGTACCTCAGATCCCCAGAATTTAATCGATGCTTTACGAGCCATGGGCAGGGATAATTACCAAGGTGACAAACTCAAATACCTGGAAACACTCTGTACAGAATGCATTGTCATGATAACGGAGGGTAAAATGAGAGTTAACCAGGTGTGTGATGCTGCAAAAGCTTTCTATAATCTGGGTAATGTCGGGTCCAGGTACGTGGAACAAGTCTGGATCGGTATTACGGAAAAAGCCGAAGAGATCAAGGAAAAGGAAGTGTGCAACATAATGAGTGTTCTTCCGCTGGTCAAGAAGAGTCGTAAACATCTATACAACATTGCCGAACGGAAGATGGGAGGTCTTTGGTATAAGCTTAATTGTGAAGATGTTCTGAGGGTTTTGCACATCCTTGTACAGCTCAAGATGACGAACAGTCGCATGCTACCCATGCTTTCAAGATGGACTAACTTAAATATCCATGCCCTTACTGAAGGTAATCTCCGCTGGATTGTTTATTCATTCATGAGCTTAAATTACTCAAATGCTGATATGCAGAAAGCACTCTCTCGCTTTATGAAGGCAAAAAAGGTCAATATCAATGATCCAAGTCTTGTGGCTGTGATCATGGATTATTGTGTTAAAATGCGCATAAGATCCCAAGATATTCTGAACAATGCTGGGGAATACTTTATAAAGAATTCACAGATATTAACAGTGCCACAGATTAATAGCATTTGTCGGTCATATGGATTACTGAACTATGATCCTCCTAATGCAGCGACATTTTTCCTTGCTTTTGAAATGCATCTTGATGCAAAATTTGTGCAGTTTCCACCAGATATCATGATTGATTTACTTCTTTCATGTGTATACCTAGGGAGATATCCCCTTAATTTTGTGAAAAAAGTTTTTAACCCATATTTTTTTGACAAAGTGCACACATTGGAGTCTTCTGATGTCAGGCTAACACGCACAAAATTGAAGGTTCTTGACAAAGCTCTTTGTTTAGAGGCACCAAGTTATAATGGACCAATGCTTCCCAGGGATCATTCGGCCAAAAGCTTCTGGCGTGATGCAAGAATTATGAGGTGTGTGAACATGATTCGGGCTTTGTTGGTCGAGATAGTTGGAACAGAAGAACGTATAACACCATCTGCTGTTTTGCCAAATTTTCCTGGTACAGAGCTGTACATTATAGATTGTATTATTGATATGGCTGGAAAATTATCTTTCCAATCTTTCAAGTGGAGCAACAACAAGTATGCACTTCTTATTCATCCTCCAGAGCACTATATTTTGAATGAAGACATACTGGTTGGGCCACAGGCTATGCGCAAACGTCATCTAGCCTTGTGTGGTTTTAAGGTTGTGAGTCTTCGCTATGAAACACTTCTTAAAAATCGCATGTATCCAGATTTGCTCAAAAATTACATAGAAAAGGAGATGAAAGAAGCTACACTGTAACATAAGTGACACTGTACAATTACAATACTGTGTGGAAACTTAGTGAAAATTGGACAATCAAATCTGCTGTGTAGTGTGTGCTGTCATTTAATTTATATTAGACATACTGGTGATAAACTTTGCTTGAGAAAAATTATGTCTAGTCTAGTCCTGTTTTATTTATGGTATGCCAAAACCAGTGAAAGTGCATCTTCAAGTCTGTGATATTAGTAACATAGAACAGTCCAGAGAATTCATCAGCAATCATCTTGTGACTCCAGGCCAGGCCATTCAAAACATCTACATACACTTATATGGTGGGTTTTCACTTGTTTTGAAAATTTTCATTAATTTAATTGTTAACTTATTTTGATTCTAGTACCCTAAGTGCTAGGTTGTGATATTTGCTAGAAAAACTGGGTGTTGGAAACAATCTAGGATGGGAAGGTCAACAGTAGGTACGGTGATAATGTATACAGTACTGTACTTTACTCTAGTTGTGCTGTTAGATAGTAATTTGATGAAATTATTTTGTTGAAGAGTACTGTACCTATTACATGTACTGTAATGTATGAATACAGTCCTACTCGGACCATCGAATACCGACTCAGATCATTTCGGATAACCAACTCAGACCACTAAGTTAATCAACACATTTTACACATTTATTTTTGCATGAATGATAAAAATACTGTACAAAAGTACAAACATTACTGATAAACAGTCACATGATGTGAAACGGCTCGTATCAAATTTTTAGCAGATCTTCGTCCACTACTAAATTCGTCCCACAGTTTGAAGAGCTGCACTTGACCCATTGTTTTCGTAGCACTTTACCGTTGGACAAGAGCCGCACCTGGAGTGTCACCAGTTTTGCTTCATTATGGAGTAGCTTGATTAACAGATAGTAGTTAAGTTGTCCTTTTCTTACTTTCAAGTTAAGGCGATGATGCCGCCCTTAACAGTCATTATTTGTACGGAAACTTCTTTTAAATACACTCCAAGCAGATGGGATCTAGATGTCATTTCTGAACCCCTAGCCAACTACTTGTTTGAAGTGTGCAATGTGGGCCGAGTTAGTAATGTGGGGGCCCAGTTGGGGGTACACTGTAATGTACGATGACAAAGTACAGTATTTGTATTTCCAGAATAATCTGATGAATGCTGAATATTTTAATAATAGAAATCATCTTACCTTATTATCATCAACATACACACTGGAATCCTGAAATTTTGTCCTTGGACGACATATTTGGGTTAGTCACAGAAGGAGAGAAAAAATGGAATACTGTATTGTATATCTGGATGTATATACGTACTGTACTGTATCTCTTTCCCATTTAATGTAGCAGATTTGACGTTTAAATTGCAGATAGACTTGTGATCTGCAACCTAGTGTGTTTCATCAGCATCATTTACCAGAGTATTTGTAGATGTCTGATGGTGAATGACTCTATAAATATTCTAAACTCTGTAGTTGTAATTATTTCAAGGATCATTAACACTAATTATTGGAATTAAAATTTTGTATACCCAGCATATTGAGGAGTACCTTTGTAATAAATCCGAATAAGATCTATATTTTGGCTGCTAGATGTGAGACTGAAGGTTTAAGGTCTGGCATTTTTTGGGCCTGACAAATTTATCTCTGGAAAATTAAAAATTAACACATTACAATTGTAAACCAGTCTTTACACGTGGTAACAAGTTTAAAATTGTGATTTAAACTTACAGGCATAAAGTAATTTGCACTTTTAAGAATGGTAAATTTGTTGTAACTATAATACAGGTACAGCAATTATGTCATGAATCATTATTGACATTAAATATTTGAATTTAAAAGTTTTAGATGTGGATCCTTAACCTGTACAGTACAGTATATAAAGGAGATCCTTTGTGCTCAGTTTTAACTACAGTGTTGGGTAAACCTAAATTTTGGCCTCTTGTGCTCAAACTAGTAATGAACTGTACATACAGCATAAGAGTGTACAGTACAGTATATAAATTATATTGAAATGTGTTATCATTTAATAAAGAAAAAGATGCATAAACTAATTTGTTTCTTCAGTCGTGTAACAAAGACAAAGGCAGAACTCGAAGTTCTGAGGTTTGCAGCCACTGTCTCGGCAGCTGCTCATCGAGCTGTGATGCGCAAGATTCGACCTGGCATGAAGGAATACCAACTGGAGGCCATATTTCAACACCATTCCTACTATCATGGAGGATGCCGGCACCAGGCTTATACCAACATCTGTGGTTCTGGTTGTAATGCTGCTGTGCTGCATTATGGTCATGCTGGTGCACCCAATGCTCGAACAGTGAGACACATAATTTAAGCTTCTATTTAATTAATTTTTCAGATGTAGCAAGCCTTTATTAGGAGCATTTGTTGTATAATGGTGTAGTAATGAATGCCATAGGAAGGATGGGAAATTTTGGTGTAATTATTTTACTAAGGGACAAGACAATGTATAATTTGGGGGAATTTTTTTTTCAGTGTAGTTTGTTAGTCTCCAGTTTATTGCCTTTGCTGGGTTCATATGATTGTCTGTCATTTATAAAATATTAGACATAAGAAACCATGTGATTCTGATATTTTCACAATTTACATTTTTTTTTTAGGTTTCTGATGGAGAGATATGTCTTTTTGACATGGGAGCAGAATACTACTGTTACACCAGTGATATTACCTGTTCTTTCCCGGCTAATGGAAAGTTTACTGAAGATCAAAAGGCAATCTACAATGCTGTCTTGAGTGCTTCACATGCTGTAATGGAAGCAGTAAAGCCAGGAGTATCATGGGTAGAGATGCACAGACTCTCATACCGAACCATGCTGGCCAAACTGAAGGAAGCTGGGATTGTGCAAGGTGATCTTGAGGACATGATGAAGGTAAGAACATTTCATTGTTCAGTTTTTGTGTGTAATAATAATAATAATTAACGGTTTATTAAAAAAAGTTCTGCAGCCCAAAGGCTGAAAATATACATTGAGCAAAAATGACTTATTACATACAAAGACATGGGGTGGGTGGGTCGTATAACAAAAGCTTTCATTACTGAAAGAAGAAGGGACATGAATTGAACATCCAAATTATTATAGTTTGCAGTTGATGGCCCGGGCCTGGGCTGGTCTTGGAGACACCAGATGGTGTGGTGTTCACGTGGTGTAGTAACTCGTCCTCGAGTGTTGATATGAAGGACCTCACATGGTCATGGGAACACCTTGTGGTGTGGTGTGGTGTTCACGTGGTGCAGCAACTCGTGTGTGTGTGTGTGTGTGTGTTTATCCCAGGCTACATCGAGTTTTGCTTCCACACATGCAGTTTAATGTTGCTTTAATTCTTAAATAAAATAAAGAACAAATCATTGTATGCATACAGTACATTAAGTAAAGAAAAAGCATTAATTACACTGTAATCTTTTTGAAAATTAAGAGTTGTTGCCAAGATTGACCTCCATAAATAACAATGTATACCAGCAGCATCTGTGTGTGTGTGTGTGTGTGTGTGGAGACATTTGCAAGAAGTGAGAGTTCATAAAGTACTACGGTAATATCTCCGTTAGCCGGATCTCAGACCCCCGGAACTCTCCAATAGCCGGAATTAAAATTTCCTCGGAAAATCATCCCCAAAGCCGCAATTTTCTGGAAAATTCCGGCTTTGGGAAAAAAAATCAGATCAAATTTTCCCGATACCCGGAAAATTCCGGGTTCGAGAGATGTTGTAATGGACAATTTCTGAAACTTTCTGGGGATGAGGGATTTTTTTCCGGCTTTGAGAGAGTTGTCTCTTTACCCGGAAGTCTCTCATTCCCGGAAGTGCTCTGCACTAGTTGTTCCGGCTAACGGGGATATTACTGTATTTGCTGTCATTTGGAATCGAGTATGACGATCATTCAGCTATGATACAATGGTATGAGTTACCAAGGATTTCATTTACGTTGGTGAGTTCTGAGGCCAATACGGGACCGGCAGCATCATTTACAAATGTTGCACACGTGGGTGGCCAAATCTAGTGCGGCAGCGTCTTTCCAGCGGTAGCGCTTGTCTGCCTCGTTATGCAGTTAAGCTAACTGTAAGTATTGACACCTTCTTGTTGTGGTGCTCCTCTAAGCGTTATAGTGTGGAGAAATCGTCTCCCAGGTGAGGGGGTTGATTGGCACTTTTTCAGGTTTGTCTTAAGACATGTTTTATTTCTGAACCAGTCGTTCTTTGGATTGCGGAGTTCTCGCTGGGCTGCCGCTTTCTCCTTGCTGAAGGTATTGGCTTTGGTCCGAGACCGAGGGTTGTTCTGCCAGTCAGTTAAAGCAGCACTTTTATCATTAACGAGTACATTAAATGCAAGGTCATTTTCATCAAGCCAGTGCTGGTGTTTTCTTTTGATCTGGCTGAGGGTCTCTGCAGGTTTTTGTCTTGACAGTGTCGAGAATATCCCATTGGGCACTGGGATTTGGGTTGTTTATCAGCCCATGTTCGAGCTGCTCTCTGAAAGCATGTGCTACTGCTGGATCCTGCAGATGCCTAGTGTTAAAGCTTGCTACCTTTGCCGTTTTTTGGTCGACGTGAAATGTGAGCTTGGCTCTGACGAGCTGATGATCAGTGTCGCAGTGGTCTGAACTACGGATGGCTCGGGTGATGAGGACATCTCGGTGATCTCTTTTTCTGACATTGAGATGCCAGTGTTTGGATCGTGGGTGTTGCCATGAACCCTTGAACTTGTCGGCCTGCTTAAACAAGGTACTGTATTGGTGATAGTGAGGTTGTGTGCAACACTTGCTGAGGAGGAGAAGGCCGTTGAGATTACATTTACCTAGTCCATTTCTCCCTATGATTCCCTGCCAAATGTCAGCTTCTCTGCCAACTCTTGAAGTCACCAAGGAGCACAACTTTATTTTTTCTGGGGATAGAGGTTAACACTGTGGAGGTTGGCGTAAAAGGACTCCTTGGTGTCTTCCTCTGCATCCAGTGTTGGGGCGTATGCCCTAATGAAAAAGGCATGACGTGAGACATTCAGTGGGACTCGAGGCATCATGAGACGCTTGTTGATCTCAATTGGCATTTCAGTTAGCCTGTGTAGGATGACTTGGCAAGTGGCAAAGCCAACTATAAATGCGGTTTCTCTCGCACCAGGCTTATCCTTCCAGAAGAAGGTATAGCCAGACCCCCGTTCTGTGAGTTGACCCTTGTCTGGGAGCTGGGACTCGCTAATGGCCTCTATGTCGGTGTTATACCTGGCCAGCTCTTTTGCCACAAGAGCAGTTCTTCTTTCAGGACCCTCATTTGTGCCAGTATCCAGAAGGGTCTTGATATTCCATGTGTTTGGATCTGTGATTATGATTGTGTTTTCGACTGCATAAAGATGACCTTACTGGATGCAGTTGTCCAGTTAGGTTTTTTTTTTAGGTGGGCTCTGTGTAGGGCACCTTTTATAGCCCCCTATCCATGTGGTGTGAGCAGAGTGGCTCCTCTAAAGGGCTGCTCAGTCGCACAGACAGGATCGGATTGCACTACTACCTAGATCCTAGTACATAAACGACCATGTGCAGAGTTGTGATGACCTGGATGTTGGCTGCTCATGAATTGATTTATATGGTGAGGCAAGAGTGCAGGCTGCAACCACATATTGGCTCTCCCTTTTCCTGATCCAGTGGTGCAAGTGTTGTAATGACTGGGGAGAGGGAGAATTGCAATGGACTGCTGATAGCACAGGTTGATGGGCTTCACCTTAGTAGCCTGTCCATTATGCATTGCCTTCGTCCGCCGGTGTAGTCGTTGGGTTCCCATGGTGGTCACCTCTTCTGCCTATACTGCTGTTGGGTTCTTGGAGCTCTGTAAGAATGTCTGCCTGATGCGGGGCTCCACCGCAGATTTTTCGTTCGGGGTTTACGCCCCTAGCCTTACACCTACCAAGGTTAATCAGCCAGGCAGCAGGGCAATGGTTGGTAGGCGCCAGCACCAGCAGGGGATCTCGGAGTAGCAGTGGGCCCCAGAGGTACACACGCACACATTGGAAATTAACAAAAAAATGCATCTCAAGTGAGGGTGACGACTGCTGTTGTGATGTGTTGCTGGTTTAGTGCTTTGTTTTATTATAATATATTAAGTAGGTGTTATTGTATGACTCAAACTTCTGTGTGGTTAACTGATGCACAAGTGTGCGACTGCGTGGCGGAGGGTTAAAGATCAGCAGTTGAGTAGCGCTTGGTAACACCTCATCTCTATAATGACCCGCACCTTTCTGCTTTCTCACACCATATTTTAAAATGTTATGTAACATAATGTTGAAGGGATACAACATTGCTCATTCATACTTACACTCAATTTTGTGGGTAGATAACAGTAGTGTTGCAGGTGCAGTATTACTAAAGAAACTAATAGATGCATCACATCACAATTTTCGAAATACTGTATTTGGTAAAATTTTGAATCATAAGAGACATGTCTCCATGGGATGCAACCACCTGCCTCAGTGTAAACATTAGGTCAGGGTCTACCGTGCAAACTTTTTATAGGGTAATTGTTTTTCAATCACTGACCATTGTTTCAGTAATTGAGTCTGATAACCTCAAATCTGGTATAGTACTTAGAAACGTTTAAATATTTATTGGCGCAGATAATGGAAAAGTACCTTTGTTTTGTTAGTTTTTCCTTTGGGAGGTGTCCCTCATAATTGCTATACTTTTGAACCAAGAAAAATTGTCAGTGAGCAGCCTGTCATTCCCAAAAGTTCTATTATGCTCTCATATAAATGTGAGGTGTAATTTAGAATTGCTGTACAGGTATTGTATTTTGTTTCATCTTCCATTTGTCCTGTGTCAAAATTTTCCTCATTGGTCTGCTGTGAACTACAATATGCTTCATTTATAAAATGTAGTGTACTGTATTTTGACATTTTGTAAACTGCTGTTGATTTTCAGCATCATTTATAACACATCGTATTTGATTGCACCCCTTTAAAATTATGCTGTAGTTTCCTCTAAAACTTTCTTAAGCTTCATGAAAGGTTAAGTCAATTTTCTCATGGAATGTTGTATGTTACTATAGATTTTCACCTGCATGCAGCCACCAGTCACTGTTGGATGGTGTCACCCATTAGGTTTTCCATCTTAGTTTTACAGTAAGTGTTAAAATTAGGATCACTAAATTGGTATCCAGCTGTGGGAAATTTTAATAAGCTCAAAAATTTTGCTCACTGGTTCATAATTAATTAATCCCACTAAATCAAATACATATAAAATAATAAATATACAAGGATTCATTGTGACTTGTACGGTACTTGATGCTCGTGCTGTAGCAATCTGTATCTACTGCCAACAGCAACTTTCTGCTCAGTTTACTACAACTGTCTTGTCCTTCAATATTAATATATATTTAGAGTTAAACAATCTTCATTGACAGCTATAGTGATAGAGTTGTAAATTAGGAAGATACATTTCCTCTGATCAGAAATGTCATAATTAATTTGTAAATGTATCTATACCATCCATACAGGTAAATCTTGGAGCAGTGTTTCAGCCTCATGGTTTGGGTCACCTCCTTGGATTGGATGTGCATGATGTTGGAGGCTATCTTGAAGACAACCCTCCTCGACCTCAGGAAGCTGGTTTCCGGTCTCTTCGCACAGCCAGGGTGTTAGAGGAGAACATGGTCCTCACAATTGAACCTGGATGCTACTTTATTGATCATGTAAGAAATCTGAACTTGTAATTATTTCAATATTAACACTAAATTTAAAAAATTCTGAACCCAGCTCCTTAATAAGTATTTCAAGGAATACCTTTGTGGGGTATGCTATAACGAATCTAATTGGTTCTAGAACCTTGTTCGTTATAGCATTCGTTCGTTATAGGATTAATCCGTTCCAGGCCCCCAAATGCAACCACTTAACACTGAAAAATATAATATAAAATTGTAAAAAAGTGCATAAATATGCATCTAAACCCCTGAAATAAAGAATATCATTAATACTTGTAATAAAAAAAAAAAAAAAATTCGTTGTAGGAATTTCGTTCGTTATAACATTTTCAATTTTATAGGTAAAACCGTTTGTTATAGGAATATTCGTAGTAGAATCCATTCGTTATAGCATACCACACTTTTTATTTGGAGAGTGAAAAATTCTCTTAAAATATTTAAATGATAGAACCAGTCTATATTCTTGGTAAAAAAAAAAATATATTTCAAACTAGTCATTGAGGTAATTGGTATATACGTAGACTTTCTAAATGTGTTGTAACTATTTGTCATATGTATCGACAAAACTTGGGGCCCAGATTCACTAAACTGCCCGTAACTTTGATCGTATCTCTCCTCATATATTGAGAAGCTATGGTGATCGTATGATATTGGTTATAGGCAATTCATTAAAGGTTCATATGGCGACTGCAGGTAAGTGTAGCTCAGTAAGCTACCACTAGATGGAGTTAGTGTATTTTTTTGTTTCCTTGCTAGACCAATCACTATTGCCTGGAACAAACACTTTGAAAGAATATTAGCCAGTCACAAGTTACCCATGTCAGAGACTGAATTTCTCCAATGAGATTTTTTTTAATAATAATAATAATAATACTGTAATAATTATAAAATTATTAATTAATATTACTATTGCAGTATTTTGGAGCAAATGCACTTTATATTTCTTGACACAGTTCATTGCCTTGACTAGTAACGTCATCAGCTACACTCTGGAAACTACCACTTGCAAAAAAACTGAAAACAGATGTATTTAGCCAGAGTATATGCCAATGTAACTGTAAGTGGTCATCAATTTGTAGAGGGTCCAAAGGAACCCTAAACATCATTTCTCTCCGGTGTGCACAGTCACGAACAAAAGTAATTGTTAGTTACATCTTCACAGCTTCACTCTCACTTGTGATGCTTGAAGTGCTGCATGTCTGGCAGTTCTGTGTTTCATGACAGGGTATATAGTAGAGACAACGGGGGCTATTTCCACCTTGCGAAAACTTACTGGCACTCGGTGGCCACTTTAAGCTGCTAGTGAATCGGCCCTGGACATGTTAAAATTTTCCCCAGCAAACCTAAGTCCAAATTAAAATGGACAATAATACACAATTGTGGCAGGAACACATAATAAACTTTGTTTCACTGTAAGTAAAACATCGAAAGATAAATATCAATTACGATATTAAGTTGGCTTGGTGTGCACTTATAGTAGGAAGCAATTATTTATTCTGGTACAGGAATTTCTATTATTTCTATTAAATTGAAAATCGGTTTTAAAATTCATTAGCAAATTATAAATACTGTATAATTAACATTCAAAATAAGGTCCAGAGTTAGCCACATCCAGAACTTAGTAAGAGGGCATTCAAGGCTGTATTGTCTTACCACAAGGCAAGATAATGTAAAAGATCTCCCATGAGATAAAGTTAAGGTCCATAATTACCATGAAAGAAAAATGGCAAATCATGATTCTCATGGCAGTGATATAATGAGGGCTTATTACACAATTATTTTCAGAAAAGTTGAGGTTTGGTATTTGATCTCAAGGACATGAAAACCTGAAAGGAATTGTTAATTAAAATCTTAGAGAAAAACATTACAAACAGCTAGATTAACGGAGTAGCCAGGCTGTACATTTAATCAAAATACTGTACTGGGTTACATTTAGTGTAATTTTCTTATATTTTCTCATCAATGTAGAGTTCATCGATATTTTTCTTTATTTATTTTTTAATCAACAGCTTTTGGATCAAGCATTGGCTAATCCAGCTCAGGCACAGTTTCTGGTTCCCGAGGCAATAGCCCGCTTCCGTGGATTTGGTGGAATCAGGATTGAGGATGATATTGTTGTGACTGCCGATGGCATGGAAGACCTTGCACAGGGTACTATTCCACGAACGTAAGTTACAGCTGTTTCATTTGCACTATAAATTTAATAATAATTGAATATATGATTGACTTTGCAAGTGGAGGCTTTACCACTCATTTCAGGATAGTTTACTTCATTGGTTCCTAAGTCCTAATTTGTAATTGAGTTATAATTTATATCATATTCTGTTTATCACATATTGAGATATGGAGGCAACTTTCTGTATATGTTGGATGATGGCATCCCTCAGCATTGAGTTTGCATATATGGAATGTTGTTAGGCTGATCAGTAGTGGAGTGCAAATCTTGTTTGCTGCCACCTTTATCACCTTGGTCTATGTTCCTTGCCCTACACACCCCACAACATCCACACCCCTCCACCTCCACACCCATCCCTCTACATGTCAACACCCTCCACTTCCAACCCTGCACCTTCATGTCATGGGAAAGATTGGATTGATGTTGAGGTATACTATATAAGCAGCTAATTTAAATTTTTCCCCTGTACAGTGTGGAGGAGATTGAAGAACTTATGGCAGAAGGTCAACAGGCGGATGTGTTTGTCCCTCAGCTTCATGCTCAGGAGAAGCTTGGTCAGTAATTAATGGTGCTTTAACTTACACCATTGAGTAAAGAAGATGAGGAATAGGATGGACACAAGAAGACTTTTTATCCTTACATAAAATGTATAGTTATTTCAGCCACGCTTTAGGTTAGATTATTACTGTATAACAAAGTAAATGTTTCAAATTATTAGAATGCCAAAAGTTTAATTGTTTAAACTTGGAACTAGACATTAACTATATTAATGGAGATATGTGCCTGAAAAGATTTTCATATATATATATATATTGGACAACTATATATACAGTATACAGGTTCTGTACTTTGTAAAAAAGGGATCATATATGATTTGCAAATTCCCTGGAACTTTAATAAATAAATTGCACTGGTTGTTCCCTTCTTTCTTTACCCCCATAATTATAGACCCAAATTTGTTGGTAATATGAAACTACAGTATATATATATACATATATATAGAAAATGGGAAATGTGTATCACAGAGAATGGTAAATATCTACTTTCTGGGAAAGTTGGTTGGCTACTTATCATAGAAAACGGGAAATTTGTATCATAGAAAATGGGAAAATATCTACTTAACACGAAAGTTGGTTATCTACTTTCCCGAAAAGTAGATTATCTACTTTAAGGCAAAGTAGATTATCGACTTTTCGGGGAAGTAGATTTTCGAATTTTGGGGGAAATATTACCTAATTTTGCGAAGTAGATTATCATAGAAAACGGGAAATTTGTATCATAAAAAATGGGAAATATCTACTTTCCGGGAAAGTTGGTTATCTACTTTCCCGAAAAGTATATAGATTTTCTACTGAGAAAGTAGATTATCGACTTTTCGGGGAAGTAGATTTTGAATTTTGGGGAAATATACCTACTTTTTTTAGAAGTAGATTATCATAGAAAACGGGAAATTTGTATCATAAAAATGGGAAATATCTACTTTCCGAAAGTCGGGGAAGTAGATTTTCGAATTTGGGGAAATATTACCTAATTTTGCGAAGTAGATTATCATAGAAAACGGGAAATTTGTATCATAAAACTTGGAAATATCTACGTCCGGAAAGTTGTATTTACTTTCCCGAAAAGTAGATAGATTTCTACTTTCGGGAAAGTAGATTATCGACTTTCGAAGTAGATTTTCGAATTTTGGGGAAATATTACCTAATTTTGCGAAGTAGATTAACATAGAAAAACGGAAATTTTATCATAAAAATGGAAATATCTACTTTCCGGAGAAAGTTGGTTATCTACTTTCCCGAAATTAGATAGATTTTCTAGTTTTGGAAAGTAGATTATCGCCTTTTCGGGAGTAGATTTCGAATTTTCGGGAAATATTAATTTCAATTTACGAAGTAGATTATCATAGAAAACGGAAATTTGTAATATAAAAATGGGAAATATCTACTTTCCGGAAAGTTGGTTATCTACTTTCCGAAAAGTAGATATTTTCACTTTTCGGTAGATTATCGACTATTTCGGGAGTAGATTTTCGAATTTTCGGGGAAATATTACCTAATTTTGCGAAGTAGATTATCATAGAAATCGGGAAATTTGTATAATAAAAAATGGGAAATATCTACTTTCCGGGAAAGTTGGTAATCTACTTTCCCGAAAAGTAGATAGATTTTCTACTTTTCGGAAAATTAGATTATCGACTTTTCGGGGGAGTAGATTTTCGAATTTGGGGGGAAATATTACCTAATTTTGCAAAGTAGATTATCATAGACAACGGGAAATTTGTATCATACAATTTGGGAAATATCTACTTTCCGGGAAAGTTGGTTATCTACTTTCCCGAAAAGTAGATAGATTTTCTACTTTTCGGGAAAGTAGATTATCGACTTTTCAGGGAAGTAAAATTTCGTATTTTGGGGGAAATATTACCTAATTTTGCGAAGTTGATTATCATAGAAAACGGAAAATTTGTATCATAAAAAATGGGAAATATCTACTTTCCGAGAAAGTTGGTTATCTACTTTCCCGAAATTGGATAGATTTTCTAGTTTTCGGGAAAGTAGATTTTCGCCTTTTCGGGGAGTAGATTTTCGAATTTTCGGGGAAATATTACCTAATTTACGAAGTAGATTATCATAGTAAACGGGAAATTTGTATCATAAAAAATGGGAAATATCTACTTTCCGGGAAAGTTGGTTATCTACTTTCCCGAAAAGTAGATAGATTTTCTACTTTTCAGGAAAGTAGATTATCGACTTTTCAGGGAAGTAAAATTTCGTATTTTGGGGGAAATATTACCTAATTTTGCGAAGTTGATTATCATAGAAAACGGAAAATTTGTATCATAAAAAATGGGAAATATCTACTTTCCGGGAAAGTTGGTTATCTACTTTCCGAAAAGTAGATATATTTTCTACTTTTCGGGAAAGTAGATTATCGACTTTTCGGGGGAGTAGATTTTCGAATTTTAGGGGAAATATTACCTAATTTTGCGAAGTAGATTATCATAGAAAACGGGAAATTTGTATCATGAAAAATTTCCGGGAAAGTTGGTTTCTACTTTCGAAAAGTAGATAGATTTTACTTTCAGGAAAGTAGATTATCGACGTTTCAGGGGAGTAGATTTTTCGAATTTTGAAATATTACCTAATTTTGAAGTTGATTATCATAAGCGGAAATTTGTATCATAAAAATGGGAAATATCTATTTTCCGGGAAAGTTGGTTATCTACTTCCCCGAAAAGTAGATAGATTTTCTAATTTTCGGGAAAGTAGATTATCGACTTTTTCGGAAAGTAGATTTTCGTATTTACGGGGAAATATTACCTAATTTTGGGAAGCAGATTATCATAGAAAACGGGAAATTTGTATCATAAAAAATGGGAAATATCTACTTTCCGGGAAAGTTGGTTTTCTACTTTCCCGAAAAGTAGATAGATTTTTTACTTTTCGGGAAAGTAGATTATCGACGTTTCGGGGAAGTAGATTTTCGAATTTTGGGGGAAATATTACCTAATTTTGCGAAGTAGATTATCATATAAAACGGGAAATTTTTATCATAAAAAATGGGAAATATCTACTTTCCGGGAAAGTTGGTTATCTACTTTCCCGAAAAGTAGATGGATTTTCTACTTTTCGGGAAAGTAGATTATCGACTTTCGGGAAGTAGATTTTCGAATTTTGGGGGAAATATTACCTAATTTTGCAAAGTAGTAAACCTAACAGAAATACACTGTGTTTTAATTAAAAGTAAGTTTCCGTGAAAGGGGTAAAACTAACTAAGATACACTGTTTTTCATCTAAATTGTTTTCAGAAAAGAAGTAAAACTAACTTCAAAACTACGTTTTAAACATAAAACACGCCTTGTCGTTGAAAAGAAGTATAATTGATTACAAAACAGTGTTTTGAAAATTGCGTTTTCAAAAGTAAAACTGAATAAATGCATTTTCATCAAAAAGTATGTTTATCAAAAAAAGAAGTAAAACTAACTAAATACACTGTTTTTCATCTAAAAGTGAGTGTTTTCCTGCAAAAGAAATAAAATTATCTACTTTTCGGGAAATTAGATAACCAACTTTCCCGGAGCGTAGATATTTCCCATTTTTATGATACAAGTTTCCCGTTTTCTATGATCTTCTACTTCGCAAAATAAGGTAATATTTCCCCCAAAATTCGATAATCTACTTCACCGAAAAATCGTTAATCTAATTTCCCGAGAAGTAGAAAATTTATCTACTTTTCGGGAAATTAAATAACCAACTTTCCCGGAAAGTAGATATTTCCCATTTTTTATGATACAAATTTCCGTTTCTATGATAATCTACATCAGACATGCTATAATAATATGTAGTAATACAGACATGTGAATAAATGGTACAATGAATGGTAACAAGAGTCCTGGTGTCAGGCGTGTTCACATATCTTGGTATGTACATATCTATACAAAATAAAATAAGTATTAGACATACATGGACATCAGACATGCTATAATAATATGTAGTAATACAGAGATGAATAAATGGTACAATGAATGGTAACAAGAGTCCTTGTGTCAGGCGTGTTCACATATCTTGTATGTACATATCTATACAAACACAACTTTCCCTACACACAACACATACAACTCTCTCCCACAACACAACACAACCTCCCTACAGTACAACACAACACACCTCCCTACAATACAACACACAACTCCCTACAGTCAAACACACCCAACAAAACTCCAATACTCACACAACACAACTCCCACATATTACACAACACAACCCTCCCTACAACACAACACAACACAACTCCTCCCACAATACTACATAACACATTCTCCCTACACATACAACACAAATTCTCCCACACACACAACACAATCCCCCTACAACACAACACAACACAACTCCTCACTACAATACAACTCAACACAACTATCCCTACAGTACAACACAACACAACACAAACTCTCCTAAAATATCACACACAATCCTTCCCAATACAACACACAACTCTCCCCACAATACAACACAACACAACTCCCCACAGTACAACACAACACAACCTCCCAACACAACACAATCCTCCCACAGACAAACACAACTCAACAAACTCCTACACACACACAACACAACTCCTCCCTACACATAACACAACACAACCTCCCTACAACACAACACACACAACTCCCACACATAACACATCTCTCCCTACACACAACACACACAACTCCTACACACAACACACACAATCCTCCCTACAACACACAACACAACACAATCCCACAGTACAACACAACACAACAAACTCACTAATACACACACAACACAACCTCCCACAATACCACACAACACAACTCCTCCCCTACACACAACACAACACACAACTCCTACAACAAACACAACAACCTCCCTACATCACACAACACAATCCCCTACACACACACAACACAACCCCACAACACAACACATCACAACCTCCCTACACACACACAACACAACTCTCTAAACACAACACACAACACACCCTCCACACACAACACAACACAACACCCTCCTCACAGTACAACACAACACAACTCCCCACATACAACACAACACAACTCCCTGAACAAGACAAACACACACAACAAACACTACCCACACCTCCCACAGCACACAACACTCCCCACACACACAACACAACACAACTCCCCACACACAGCACAACACAACCTCTCCCACAATAGAACACAACACAACTCCCTAAACACACACAACACAACCTCCCTACAATAAACACAACACAACTCCCCACTACAATACAACACAACATCCTCCCACACACAACACACACAACTCTGCCTACACAACACAACACAACTCACTCACAATACAACACAACACAACTCCTTCTCCTACACACACAACACAACACAACACAACTCCCCAACACA